CTCTGACTCATGGTGGGGGGCACGCTTATCCTCTGACTCATGGTGGGGGTACAGTTATCCTCTGACTCATGGTGGGGGGCACGTCTATCCTCTGACTCATGGTGGGGGCACACTTATCCTCTGACTCATGGAGGGAGGGCAGTTATTCTCTGACTCATGGTGGGGGCACACTTATCCTCTGACTCATGGTGGGGGCACACTTATCCTCTGACTCATGGTGGGGGTACAGTTATCCTATGACTCATGGTGGGGGGCACACTTATCCTCTGACTCATGGTGGGGGTACAGTTATCCTCTGACTCATGGAGGGAGGGCAGTTTTTCTCTGACTCATGGTGGGGGCACACGTATCCTCTGACTCATGGTGGGGGGCACAGTTATCCTCTGACACAGTGGGGGGCCAGTGTCCTTTGGGTCACAGGGGACAGCAGGGCTGGCACTCGGCAGAGGGACAGAAGATCAGGGACCGGCTGCGGCAGATCTAGTCCTTCCTGAGCCTTTGGGGGTTCATCTCCCCACCCCTTCAAGTGGGGGCCCCCTCTCTTGGGAGGACCCCCATAGTGCAGAGCTTGCAGTAAGTTCTCCTTGACCTTGACCTTAGTGAGGGCCGGCTCTGGACTCACCCTCCCAGTCACCACAGTGGCTCAGATTAACCGAGAAGGAACGTCTGCCCCAGCACAGTGCTCTGGGGCAAGGATACGCAGCGCTGCAGATTCAGTAGGAACCTTTGGAGTGGTGTGTTCAGTTCCTGGGTGAGGCTCTGGGAGGGGAGGCTGGTCACCACCAGCACTGGGGTTTTTTTTAACCACCACCAACATAAAGAGGTGGGCCCACACCCTCCATACTGGGCCATCTCCGGCCACCCTCCTCAGACCCAGCAGGGGACGTGGCTGGAGCAGGGGTGGGATTGGACCCCAGCTGACTGTGAGACGCTGTTGCCCCAGGACAGGAAAGACAGCAGGGGCAGGTAGCCAGCCCTTTCCCCTGATGATCTCCCCTGGATCAGTAACGGCTGATCTCAGCCACCAGAGGAGGTCATGGCTCTGGCCAGGGCCCTTGGAGGACAGTTGGGAGTGAGTGG